GTGTTCCGTGGGCCCGCCGCCCCACCCACCGCCCAGCCACACCCGGGTGACCGTGGGCTCTTGGATGCGGGGTCCGCTGGCTTCCCAGCATGAAGGCCGGCCCATGAGCCTGACCGTTCTGGGGCCTGTGAGCGACCCACCGTGGTCTCACTCCAGATGTGGCCACACGGGGGGTCACGTTCACGGGAAGAGGGTGTGGCATGTGGCCCATGCCCCACAGCCCACCCTTTGTCTCAGGAACAGACTCCCACGCTGGCACGGAGCCTGCCCACTGAGGACAGTCCTCCCAGCCGAGAGCCAGTCAGATGCCGCGGGGAGGTTCTGCGTCCGGGGGCCCATGTCCCGGGCACTGGAGGGAAGTCCACTGGCTGGCCCCTACAGGGTGACGCCCATGCAGACCCACCAGCCCCAAGATAGGAGGGCCCCAGGCAGGCCCGCGGCCCGGGGTGCCTCTCCACAGGCACACGCCCCGGGGCACGTCCGGTTCATGGACAAGCGCAGTGCTGAGGACCACCAGCCCGCCAGCAGTTGGGCATCTCGGGTGCCAGCTGTCCTCTCCTGACAGACGCAGGGAGGAAGGGCCACCCCGGCAGGTCACGCCGTGTCATCCTGCCCACACCTCGGCAGGACGGTGCCATCGGGAACCTCTCACGGCCCTGGGCACCGCCCGTTCCTGTCCAGCCCGTGTCCCGACCTGGGGTGCACTGGGCGTCCCCTGCAGAGGCTGGGCCACTGGATGCATGAGCAGTGCCCCCGGTGAGGGCTGGGGCTGGGGCTGGGCCCGAGCCAGGATCACAACTGAAGACACAGGGCATGGCAACAGCCCAGACCCTAGCTGGGCAGGAGTGGGCAGGGGCCAACCTGGGAGGGATGGGGACAGGGACAGGGTGGGTTTCGGGAGGGCTGCCCCACAGCCCTGGGAAGGGGGACGAGGGGCAGACGCCAGAGAGGGGGAGCGCTGCACGGCACTGCCAGGTCACCTGTGTGAGGGGAGCCAGGTGTCGGTGCCGGGGAAACGCCTGCCTGGCCGTGGTCTCCGAGAGGGGCTCTCAGTTACACTCAGGGCTCCACGCCCAGGAGGGCTGAGGGTTGTGGCCAGTGCGGGGTGTTGGGGGGGTGGCCCCCGGGAGAGGGGCCCGGCTAAGATGAGGTTCGCAACCCACCACCGTGGCCGGTCCCAGTGGAGGCAGGGCGGGTGCAGGCCTCGGAGACAGTCTATTTTGCCACCAAACTCCCTTCCCATGTGTCCCTCGTTTCCTGTCCCTGGGGTCCACCGGGATCAGCCATCCACCCGTTTCATCAACTCTGGGGCAACGGGCCCAGGGAGCGCCCGGGGCTCGGCACCCACATGGCGGAGGGCGTCTGCGGCTTATCTTGGCCTCTTAGCCAAGGCCAGGGCAGCCCCTCCAGCCTCCAAAGGATGGAGCCCCAGGCCGGGCCTCATCTCTGCCCCTCGGCCCCGTGCCTGGTCTGTGAGCAGCAAGATGTCCACAAGGCCAGTGCCGTGCGGGGGAGCCGGCCTCTGGGGAGCCACACAGGCCAGTGGTGCCCGGCCACAGGCCCCTGCAGAGGGGCCTGGCTACCTTGGTGCCCCTCTCGTCTCCCTCTGCGTGGACGGTGTAGGGGCCGTTCCCCTTCTGCAGGCCTGAGACTATGCGCACTTCCACTCCTGGCAGCGGGGTCCCCACAGAACCTGCAGGTGAGACACGGTGGAGGTGGTTGGAGGGCGGGAGAGCCAGGTGGTGCCAGGGTGTCACTGCTCGGGAGGGCAGCCCTGTGTGCTGGGGCGCCTGGCCATCGGCAGCATCCAGGACAGCTCCGGACGTCACCTGGACTTGGCAAGCAGCAGACTGCCCACCCCACACCAAGGCCTGTCCCACCCGCCCTGGACCGGCAGTCCTGTGGTTACAGGGGGCGGCGTGCTTCACTTTTTCAAATGGCCGTCAGCTTTTCCTGGGAGCTGTCACTGGCCCCATCTGCTGTGACGGCAGTCGCTCTGCTGGCTGGCCCTAAGACGGGTGGGGCTCCCTGCCCACACCTGCAGCCCCACAGGAGCCACCAACTGCCCCATGTGGCCCTCCGACCAGAGCGTGGCCAGGCCCGCCAGCACCTGCCACGAGTTAGTCATCCCTCTAACGGGCGGGGCAGTGTGCACTGCTGGCCAGTCGTCCCTGTGGTGGAGCTGGCCTGCCTGCCCCGCAGACGCAGTACCTGACAGCACGTGGTCACACCCAGTCCCTCTTCCGTCAGGATTTCGGGGATGCACACGTGCCGAGCGTGTAGTCCACACCGCTGGGCTAGGAAACTGCTAGTCATGTGGGGTCCGCCCCCACGACAAGGCCTCACCTCTGCGCTATGGGGCGGCCTGAGGACCTGTGACCGCAAAGATGCTCTTAGTGACTGCAGTCCACAGTCACGGGGCCAGCAGCTGGCGTAGGAGCCATGGTGCTGGGCTCCCATGTAGCCAACCACGGTTCGAGTCCTGGATCCGGTGGCTTAAACTCACAGTGGGTGCATGTGCGTGTGTGCCCAAGATCTCGAGAGGAGAATGGAGGAGAAGGTATTGCGGTGTGACCATCCCCCCTGGGGGGTGATTTCTCACTTCTGTCTCTCTGTCTCTCTGTCTTTCTGGGGAGTGCACGTGCCCTATAGCAAAAAACAAAACAAAACAAAACAAAAACCACCAAAAAACAAAACATAAAAACAAAAAACTCTAAAATAAAAGCCACTTAGCCACTTATCTGAGAGCAGGTTTACACCAGAGCTTAAAAGGAGGTGGGAGGCACCAGGACGGCGCTGAGCCTCGGGTCAGGGGTCAGGCCCAACGACACCGACGTGTCGGGAGAACGTTCGAGCTGGCGCGGCAGGGCTCCGAGGGTGCGGCTCCTCACGCAGGCCGCACGTGGGAGAGCGAGCGGGGTAAACCCAGCGTCCCTGAGACACCGGCTCACAGACGTCAACACCGTAACCACAAGTGCCCCAGCCAGGAAGCGCCGGCGTCTCAGCCAGCACCATAGCGAAGAGCCGAACACACGGGGCAAGTCACACACGTGTGAAAGACGCGCTCAAGAGGTCAGCGGTCACGGGACGGGCAGACGTAAGACTATCCTTCTACTTCAGAAAAACGGGGGCTCGGGGACAGTGCGGCCGCAGCTCTGCGTGAGGCGAGGACTTCCAGGGAGGCCGAAGCCCTGCCTGGGGGGAAGCCAGATGCTCGCCCTGTGTCCGCCCATCCACAGGACCGGGGTGCGGGGAGAGGCCTGCTGGTCCAGGACACCCTGGGAGCGGGCCTGGCGCCTGGGCTCTGGGCGCCCCGGGGGATGGGGACGCCATTCTCTCGGCTGCGGTGGCCCCTTGGCAGGACCGCAGATGTCCATCCCGGCAGACAGGAGGGCCCAGAGCCTGCCTGGGGCCGCGGCCGGGTGCGTGTGGGCCACATCCAGCCGGCAGGTGCTCGTACCTGGCAGGCGAGCTCCGGTCAGCGGGTTGGACAGGGCCATGCCAATCTCGGTCATGCCGTAGCGCTCCAGCAGGGTGTGGCCCGTGACGTCCTCCCACCTCTGCAGCACAGGCAGGGGCAGGGCGGCCGAGCCCGACACCATCAGTCTGCGGCACAAACAGAAGCCTCAGCTGTGGGGCGTGGCCTCGCGCCGGGGACCTGCCTCGGAGTAGGCCAGACTGGAGGTCTTCCGGGGCCGTGGCTGTGCGCTCATGCTCATGGGGGACAGCACAGAACGGTGTGGGAGGCCCCAGGGGACGGCCCGGCCGCGGCGGAGCTGGCTCGGGCCTCAGTGGCCACCTGCAGACGACATGCTGCTCACAGCAACCCTGACGCTGGCCGTTGCACTGAAGGTGACGGTGGTGGCACCGACTCGGGGCCAGCGTGCCGCGGCCAGAGGAGCAGAGGCTAGGGGGTGAGGCGACCGTAGCCGAGGTGAGCGGAGCGGGTCATGAGCTGGCGAAGGGTGCAGCCCCGTGTCTCCCAGACAGGCGGGTGGCAGGGCAGCTGAGGGGCCAGCGCTTTTCTGCTCCATGAGGTGACACCCACCAGGGCCTCCCCCCAACCTGAGCCTGGCAGGCTTCAGCACCTCTGCACCGCGCCCCTCCCCACCTCACTCCTGCCCTGGCTTTTGGTCCTGGCGGTGCGTGCCACACCCTACTCTCCACTCGGACGCCACAGCCTTGCAGCCCAGGTGCCTGGCAGGGGCGGCAGGTGTGTGGCGAGCCGCAGCTACGACGGGACAGGTGTCCGTCTCCTCGGCGCGTC